TATGACAACTAAAATTATCTAAGAAATATGATAAACAATAAAAACCTTAGTTTACCAAATACATTTGAATAATTTAACTTTAAAAAATTAATTAATTAATTAAAAATTTAATAACTATATTATTATCTCACTTTAATGAATGGAGACAATAAAATAAATTTTAAAAAATTAAATGGGGCAAGGGGGCCCGCCCTATCCACCTTAAACGGATAACGAGATAGAAAAATACTCAGGGGGGGGGATTGGTTGCCCCGACCTCCCTCACCCCGAACCTATCTCATTACCATCTCTATATTGATTATGCATTTTTTCTTCAATTAGTTACCATTTAATTTTTTTCTATATAATAAGAAATTATTGCTTAAAGATTTTGTGCATACATAACATTTGAATATACTTGTTACCAAAAATTTTAACTTAAAATTTGTTGAAGAATTTGGTAATAAATATTCTACTTGTTTTAGCTAATTAAATTTATTATGTATCCATTTTAATAAATGCAAATTTATCAACAGAAATTCATATTTATAAATTTATAAACTAAAACTGGATAATAAATATAAATATGTACTTGTAACAAATGAAGGGAAAAGTAAAAATGATGTACTCCACTGTGTATAATAGAAAAAAATGAGAAGCAATACAAAACATATCAAACAATCGAGTTTCATAAGTCTTCCAAGTTTATTTTCTTTGTGGTTTCTTCTTCAAAGTTATTAAATTTTGGCATTATCGATTCTGACTAGCCATTCTACATCCGCACAACAGATGAAAACATTAATTTTATTTATATTTTACAAAAAGAATACAAATGGAAATAGTGTGGGATTTTTTTATTTTTTATTTAATAAAAGTGTTAAAATATGTCACGTAAAAATTTCACCACAATATTCAAATGCAAAACAAATAAAGTATTACATCATGTCACTTTTTAGTATAAAGTAAAGTTTGAATTCATATTCATAATTAAATTTTCACAAACACATTATACACATATTTTTACTGGATCCAAAAAGAATTTAAATGAGATAGTCTGTGACTTTCTTTAAAATTAAAAAAATAAAAAAAAAATTGTGACAAAGCATATTACTTTCAAATTTCAGCACCTCAATGCATTTGTAAAGACAAATATAGTGTTACATCATGTCATATTTTGATGTAAAGTAAAATTTGTATTCGTATTCATAGTTATATTTTCACAAACAAATTGTATACATCGCTTTAATAGATCCCAAAAGATATCAAATAAGATAGCTTTAATAGATCCCAAAAGATTTCAAATAAGATAGTCTACCACTCTCTTAAAAAAGTGATAAAGCTGGTCACTTTCAAATTTCAACACCTTAATTCACTTGTAAAAATAAATAAAGTGTTATATCATCTCTTTTTTTTTTTTTATGTTAAACAAAATTTGAATTCATATTCATATTTAAATTTTCATAAACATTTATATCTTCAAAAAAATTGACAGAGCATTTTACTTTCAAATTTCACTGCCTTAATCCATATGCAAAGGCAAATAAAGTGTTACATCATGTCACTCTTCAATTTAAAGCAAAGTTTGAGTTCATATTTAAATTTTCACAAACACCTCGTATGCATTTCTTACTTGAAGTAATTCAAATGAGATAACCTAAGACTTTCTTTTTTAAACAAAAAAATGTAATAGGCATGTAACTTTCACCTTCTCAATATATACTAATATTTGAATTTTCATATATACTAACTGAAATCATTAAATCTAAAATGAGAAATCAAATGTATTAGAACAAAATAACCCAGCAATATCAAATTCATAATCACAAAAATATCATGTTTTCAACAGTTATCATAAGAAAGTAGCTTATAATTGCCTTTTTTTTTTTACTTAATAATCATTAAATCGATAATTTTACCTAATAATCAAATAAATTATGAACTATTTGAATCAAATTTCAAAAACTATTAATTTGTACATTTTTGTAAATTGCTAGTCAAAATTCTGCTGATTTAGAAATTTAGGAAAAGCAAGCTGAAGGAGCCGTTTATTTCGCAGTATTAATTTGTGAAAAGAATCTCTCTTCTGATTTCAATTTTTGCCCATTGTTTGATGGTTGGGTTTCAATTTTCCTCTTTCTTCCGTGTTTGTGTACTGTTTTGATTTAATAACATGTTAAATACATTGTTATTGTAGAAGTTATTGGATTTATATTTTAGCCCTATGTTTGACTCAATTTAAAGGTATTTGTGTAATTTGCCCTTTAAAAAATTGGGACCAAACATGGGCTAACATTAGAAATTCAAGATCCATTAACATAAATAGAATAACAATTATGAGTTGATAGTAATAAATTTAAGTGTGAGGATGCGAAAATGTAGCAAATTTAGGCATTATACGTGTTTTCATTCGATAGACCATCTTAAAAGTAGAAGTCTCGTTTACGATGACATATCACGTAAACACCAATGGTGCTACTTATTCAGGTTATATAGCTGTTTGCACCTAACAATCATATTTCTCTTTCATTTTCTTCTACCCTCTAATTTGGTTCATAGAAGATGGTGCTCATTTGTACATTGCCATTGTGTACACAATTAATTTGGTCAGTGTGAAGGGTTGAAACAGTTTAATACATGGCATGAAATAAATTAGGGAAAATTGCAGCCGAGGTATCAAACATTTCGTTTATTAACAGACTTTGCCCAAACTTTTAGTTTGTGCCAACGGAGATACCAAACTTTTAAAAAATGAGTGGGGCCAGTCCAAAATGACGGTTTCCGTCTGTTTGAACGCCAAAACCGTCAATTGACCCCTCTAATGATATTTTCAAGAATTTTCTCCAAATAAGTGAAGGGCAATCTGGCATTACACACATTTTCTTCCTATTATATACTTCACTGTTTATTTCCCTCCATTTCTTTAGGGAAAATTGCAACCGAGGTACCAAACATTTCGTTTATTAGCAGACTTTGCCCAAACCTTTAGTTTATGCCACCGGAGATACCAAACCTTTAAAAAATACGCAGTTCAAGTCCAAATTGACGGTTTCTGTCTGTTTGACCGTCAAAACCGTCAGTTGACCTCAAAAATTAAAAACTTAATAATTGTAACCAAATAAGGCAAGGTTAAAATTGTAACTTTATAATTTTAAATTTAAATATAAGAAATAAATAAAAATTATTTAAAAAGAAAAAAAAAACCAATCTCCATCTTCAATCTTCCCAATCCCCTTACCCCAAAAATCAAAACCATCTCCAACTGGTGGCGGGGGGTCGGCACCACCCCAGTGCAGCCGGCAACCGAGGAACAGTGAAAATCCAACCAAATTGAAGATTATGATACTGATACCCTAACTTGGCATCTTTATGCAATTTTGTATAGTGCTACAACTAGCCATTTCACTCACACTCTATCTTGTCATTTCACTGCAATTCTGCCATAGTCAACCTCACTGCAAACTTTTTCTTTTTACCCTCTTTGCACCAAAATCCCCAGCTATTTAACCCTCTTTCCCCCTTCTCAATCCCAAATTCGTCGACCAAGCATAAACAGTGAAATTTGAATTCTGGGTTTGTTGATTATTTGGATTTTGTGGAATAATCTGTTGAAGTATGGTGGCACCATCAACGGTGGTAGTGGTGAGACGAAGGAACAGCAGAGGTGGCAGTCGGAAGAAGAAGAAGGCAATTTTGGGTTTGGACTTGGTGGTTCCTAGATGGGATACGGCGAAGTCGCCAGGGCGAATGGACGTAAGCACGGCACAGCGGAAGAGGGCGAGATCGTCAAAAAAATCAGATGGATGGTGGTGGTGCAGTGGGTAACGATGTCCGGGAAGGGTGGGTTCTGGTTTTTTTTCTTTTAGGGTTTGGGTGGGATGGATGGGTGTGGGATGAGTGGAGAAGATGAAGTGGATTTTGTATTTTAATTGTTTTATTATAGGAAATATAAATTTACCGTTTTAACCTTTTAAAATTAGTCAAAATTTGGTTAAATTGTTGACTTTTGGTCAACTAACAGATGAACTAACAGTTTCCGTTAAGTTGGACTTCAAGTGAGTATTTTTTAAAGGTTTAGTACCGTGGTTGGCACAAACTAAAGGTTTGAGCAAAGTCTGCTAATAAGCGAAAGGTTTGGTACCTCGGATGCAATTTTCCCATTTCTTTAACACTATATTACCTCCTTCCTTCTCTCTCACAGGTAGTCAAAAAAAAATATGTATATCAGCATGCACATGGAGTTGAATCTATGCAGATGTGGTTTCTCGGTGCAGATGTGGTTTCTCGGTGATAAACCTGAACCTTGGAAGAAGATTTCTCACTTTTCCTCGAAGCCAAGATGTGGGTGGATGCTCCTTCTTTATGTGGTGTGACCCTCCAATGTGTGAGAGATCGAAGGAACTGATTCCTAGTTTATTACGAGCTAGGAGGGAAATGGAAGCTAAAATCAACACCCTTCAAGCAACAAGACCAAATGGGTGGAAGATCTGACTCTTCGGCTTTGTGTGTGGAGTGTTTGCAAAATGGGTTTGTTCTTAAGTATGTAGGGTCAAATTGTAGGATTTTAGTATTTAGTTCCAGAAATTTGAGTTTAGGGTTTCGACAAGGAGCCATGTGCTAGATGTTGTGAACTGCATATGTAAAAAGGAAAAATTGTGTTGTACCTTTTTACTTGAAATGAAGTGCCCCGTTTTTCTTGTACTTAATGCTGCCTTAATAGGTGATAACGATCTTTTCCTGACCTCTATGTAAAATGCGAAATTAAAAGAGCTGATTACAATCCAAACTTATTTGAAAAAGGTGCAGTATAAGTACCAAATTTTATAACGATTCGCAAAATCAGTACCAAATATTTTCTAATGGTTTCAGACAGAATACCAAACTTTTAAAAACATTTCAGTAAAAGTACCAAACGTTTGATAATACTTTCATATGAAGTATCAAACATTTTCATATATTTCCTAATCACCTGCACATCAGATCTTACGAATACAATTTCAGAAACTAACGACAACTAGCAGAAACATAATGCAAGTCATTCGACATCAACATTATCATCACATTCAATAATTTCATCAGAAATTCCAGTTACATCTACAAAATAACAGCATTGGAAGCACATATTTCCAGTTCAGTTTACAAAAAATCACAACATTTTCCCAAAAAAGTAACTATACAAGAGAAACCACATGATGTTCAAGATTTCGATCCTCTATTGTTGGACTTCTTTGTCTGTGACTTGGAGGTTTCCGTTGAATGTGTTTTTCTCTCCCCTTCGCTGATCTGGTATGTGTATCCTTGTAGGACTCTGTATGTGTGGTTGGTTGAGACTGTTGCTGTGAACTATTTTCACTAGGCAGTGCCCCCTTACAGCTTCTTTTGTTATGTCCAGACCCTCCACAGCGTTTACACGTCATCTTCATGCCAGTCATTCCCATCTTAACTCCTGTAGGTGGCTTTGCCTGTGACCTCTTCCTTATTTTCTGGGTCTGCCAGCCTGTTTTCTCTTCTAAGGTTGATTGAGAGAATGTTTTCCCAATTCTGGCCACAGTTCAGGCCCTGACATCGAGTGGATCACTGGGGAGTAACACTTAAGGTATGTTTCCTTCATATACCATGGGTCGATGTACTCATATATGCCAATATCCCTTGAAAGCATGCCTGATATTGCATGGGGGCATGGTATTCCAGTGAACTGCCATTTTCTGCATGCACATGCATGTTTTGTCAAGTCAACACTCCACCTCAAATCGTCTCTGCTGCTTATCTCAAACTTATGGTTGCCTACATAGAGTGCCTTCAAGTACCTTGCCTCAGAAGTAGCATTCTCAATGATTTTCACAATTCTTGGCCCGAATGCATGATCCCACCTCTGTGCTGCTTCCCTTTTTACATTCTTCCTTATCATTTGTTGATGCCAAATTTTCTCTAGCATCGAGATGATGGGCCTATCTCTGGCAACAACAATAGAAGAATTGAATGCCTCACACAAATTATTAAGAAGAATATCACATCTCGAATGCTCTTCAAAACGGGATCTGGTCCACTGGGAAGGAGGTTTTTCAAAGAACCAGTTGTAAGCCTCTTCACTTATGTCTTTTAACTCATTCATTGCACTCTTCCATTCTGGCACTGTTGTTGCCCTTGCTGCAGTCCAAAATAGGTTCTTAAGGACCAGACCTTTGTGTGCCAAGGTGAAATTGCTATAAAGATGTCTAGCACAACACCTATGTTCTGCTCCTTCACAGTATTGACTTATGGAATCCATCAAACCCTTTTGTTTGTTGGAAATGAATGTCCAAACTCAAGGGTTGTGCATCCCTATGTCATGAACTAACAATTCCATGAACCATTGCCAATTTGTTTTGTTCTCTGCATCCACAACTGCCCATGCTAATGGAACATACAGTTCTCACCATCGATGCCAACAGCTGCCAACTGCCCACATTCTGCAGATTTTACGAAGCATCCATCCAATCCAACAACTGGCCTGCACCCAGCCTTAAACCCTTCCTTACAAGCCCCTATGCAGACAGATGTACAATCTCTTAAAAGTATGTCCCGAGCCTTCGATTTACACTGTACTGCCTGGATTTATTCTCTTCAATTCCTCACCGTAATCCCATAAAATTTTTTACTGCTAAGCTACAATCACATTGATAATTTCTGCACATTTCGATCTTGTCCTGTAGAACTGATGCTTTGAAATCTCAAACATGCAGTCCTCTTTCACAGTCTCCATAAAACTACTCATTGGAATGTTGGGATTAGACTAAATTTTCTCACGTATTTCTTTGCCAGAAAACCTGAATTAACCCTTTTATTTTGCCACACCATGGTACATGTGTGCTTATCTACCAATGTATATATTCTAAAACTCTTGTCGAGTTGTTGGTACGCATACAGAACCCAAGGGCAATTATCTTGACATCGAACTCCCAACTATGTCCTCATATTTTTCACGTATCTTAGTTGCCTAGAATTTTTGACTGAGTATTGAACTACTGCATTCCTTAGAATCTTGACGTTGTCGAATTTCATCCCTGGCAAAAATGAACATAGCATACTATCATAAATTTCTTCAATCAAGCGAACAATGTACATGTTAAACAAAACAAATGCTTTACCTAGCTTGAATTGTGGATCATCCATATCGGTTGCAAGGTTAAACCAGCACACATTCTTCCTTCTAGCAAATGATCCCTCAACCTCCGTATCACTGGGTAAGCTTCTAAGCTCATTGGAGTCTTCATAGTCTGCTCCAGATTCTTCCCAGCAGCTGCCTTACCTTCCTGCTCATCCCTTACACCTTCCTGCTCACTCCTTACACTAATGTCAAAACTTTCACTCAACCTGAAATGTGTTTTCATCATTATCATCAACAGCAACATTTTCTTCCTGCTAGTACTCCGTTCCTCTCCCAAAATACCCTCCTCATATTCATCATCTTGCTCAGGATCATCATGTTCCACACTAGTTTCAACAACCGGTATGTCAACATGCGGTTCATCAAGCTCCACATCAGTTTCAGCAACCTGCACCTCTGGTTTGACATCATGCAACTCATGTTCAGCAGCCTACACCTCATGCTGAGCCTGCTGTTGTGGTTCAGAAGCATGCACATCAATTTCAGCAGCCTGCACCTCTCCTTCGGCATCATGTTCAGCAGCCTACGCCTCTTGTTCAGCAGCATGCAACTCCTGTTGAGCCTGCTGCTGTGGTTCAGAAGCATGCACATCAGTTTCAGTAGCTTGTACCACTGTTTCAGCGTCATGCAACTCATGTTCAGACCTCAACTGTGGTTCAAAATTACGTGGTTTCTCTGGTTCAGCAGCATGCACTTCTGGTTCATGTGAGTCTACTTCAGCCCTTATAAAATCAACCTCTGTATACTCATGCTCTGTTCCATGCACTATAACCTCTTCGACGTCATCTCCTGTAAGGAAAACTTCCTCTTCACCTGCTTCCATGTCATCTACTTCATCAACTACATACACGTCATCACGTTCTACTGATTCATCATAAATCTCAACAGCATAGCATGATTGCTGCTAATTTAATGTAGACTTTTGAACCTTCACCAACTCCTCACCAGTCTCACAATCAAACACTTGAACATCCTTTTGTTCTGTTTCATCCCAAGGCAACTCCAAAACTTCAACTACAGGCAAGCAATACAGTTTAACTGTCCTATTATCACCAAGCCACTTCACTAAGTTCATGAAATCTAAGTCTTTAGCCAACCAAAATGAAGCTTCACTCATTCTTTTCTTCTCCATCTTGTACAGATATCTAATTCTATCAGAATATCCTAACATCTTCACGGCATTGTCCAAAAGAAATCTATTGAAGAAATCAAGGTCGATATAGTCTATATAACTTATTTTCCCATGCTCATACACAAAACTTCTCATCTTCTGAAATAAAATTCCACCGTGACAAAGCCGTATGCTGAAGTACTTTGAATTTTCCTCTGAAAAAACATCGAAAAAAATGAAGTTAAGCCCTAACCCTTTTCAGTTCGAGCAACGAACATGTACAGAAAAGATAATATACAAGCATTACGCTCTAATACACCAAATCACTTAAATTTTTGAATTTTCCAGTACGTGAAGACAATCGAATAGGTAAACTTCATAATCATACAACTTTACACCGTAAACCCAAAAAAAGGGGAACACACTTACCATGCACGGGTTGGGAAAGAGAGCCTCGAATGTCGACTACAATGTCCACTGGATGTTCGTCTTCTTCAACGTATGTTTCGTCTTCTTCGTGGGTTTTCGCAGGATCTATAGTGGATGGTGAGTGGAATGAAGTTGTAACTAACGTGTTTGTTATTGAGGAGGGAAATGTGTATAATGCCCAGATTGTCCTTCACTTATTTGGGAAAATTTCTTGAAAATATCATTAGAAGGGTCAACCGACGGTTTTGGCCGTCAAACAGACGGAAACCATCATTTTGGACTAACCTCACTCATTTTTTAAAGGTTTGGTATCTCCGATGGCACAAACTAAAGATTTGGGCAAAATCACCTCAACTGCAATTTTCCCAATAAATTATATCATTTTGAGGGAATGGAGCAATAATATGCGTTCTATAGTAACAAATTCACAAGCACTAGAATACAAGATAAGGGAGAGATCACTTATCGACTCGACTCGGCTCAGCTCGAGAGATTATGCAAATCCCTGGAATATCAAATATAATTAACATTCCCTATTATCTTACACTTTCTATTTCACAAACTTGCATAAGAGCATGTACCATACAAAAAGTTGAATATCCACACAAGCATATCCAGTCACCAGGCTGACAAAAATAGCATAGCATAAAAATGACAAAAAAAAAAATCAAAATTAAGTGACAAAATTCCCATAGATTGTCTGTTGTTGACCCTAACCGATACAGCAACTCTCGACCAATAAGAACATTCAGACTTGGAGGAACTCTGCTTGAGGGAGGCAAAAGCAGTTTGTGGAAACCATTCCACTTAAATTGTCTCCAAACTTTCATGTTAACACCACACTCGTTCTAGAGAATTTTGGGATGAAACTTCTTGTCTTTATAATTGTTTATAGAAGAGAACATAAGCCTGGTTGTGCAACACTTTGCTGGTGCTAACTGCAGTCACTGATGCGTCATCAAACCGTAACCATTGGCCATCAGGGTAAATAGCATCAGCTGTATAATGCCCTTTTGAGGCTTCACTGCCATGGTGGGTTATGGTCGATACAAGTTCATATCTTCGGCCCTGCACACCAAACAGAAAATATTCCAAGTAAATTTAGATATGATTTAATCAAAATCTGGTATTCGGTGTTTCCCATCGAAGAAAAATAAATTTCACAAAAGTTACATTTCTTTTAAAACTAGGACAAGATCACCAATTAATATTAGGGATGAACAATGAAACTGCCAAACCGTAAAACCAAACTAAACCAAAACCAAACAACTTTTTTTGAAACTATTTGTATGGGCCCACGTGAATTCGTCAACGTTATGGTTTTGAACTGAACTAAACCGCTTCAGAATGATTTTGTTTAGGCTTCAATCTTTGCAAACCGCTTAAAATTGCCAAATCGTTTACCAAAAAATGGAAATAAATTAATTTAGAATTTATCCAACTGAATTAAAATTGTACACATTCAGATTAAAAAAAAAATACATCTATATTAGACATAATTCAAAAATACACCTATGTTAGACATAATTCAATTAAACTCAATACCTAAATAAATAATAATTTATCCTGATTAATTAATTAAATCATACCCACCTATCATCACAATTGTTAATGCAAAACTCTCAAATTGGGTAAAGTGTTGAACAACTGCTGCTGAATCATATGCATCAATCGTCCATCAAATTAAATAAACAATTAAATCTAGATTTTAATTCAAACTCACATATTTATTTTCCTTCTATTAATAAATTTCTCGAATTTCGACTAAATTTTCAGGTGAGTTTATGCAAGTTTTCTTATTTTTGTTAATTGTTTGCTATATTTCATTGGGAGTCATGTTTTTTTTTTTTTTTTGTTCTAATTTGCATTAGACTCCCTTGAATTGTTAACACACAATATTTTTTTGTTTTTTGCATTCAATTTTCTGGTCAAGTGACTCAATTAATTATTTACATTTCAACTTAATTTCTAGATTTTATTGTTAATTGCTAGAATAATTTGATTGGTTACTTAAATGATCATTTTAAAGATTTGACCGACGAGCTTTTCAACATATTACTTTGGTGAAAATTGAATATAAATAAATATAAGGATGTCCCCGCAAATTGCTAAAAATATGTTAGATATTTAATTTTCACAATTATTTTTAAATCTGTATTTTCTACTAGTGATTGGATGCTTGATTCCTTTATGAGTTCATTGAATGCATATACGGGTGAGACGTTTGATTTTCCCTAAAATTTGGTTGCATAATAGCAAAGAATCTATATTGATTCGTCAATATTTGGATAATGTAAAAACATTGGATGATTCACAAAAGTTATAGAAAGTATATCGCATTTGATCTTTCCATTCATATTCTGTTATTATTTGTTTTATATCATTTAACTATAATTAATGAATCTATGTATATTTTTATCTTTATGAAGAGAATAAACCATGTGTTACAACTGCAAATCTTACGCCAATTAGTATTGACTAAGATGTTAAAATGTTTATATCATGTCATTGCATTATAATGATTAGAATTATGGAATTTTGGTTTATAAAATTTTTAATGATATTTTTAATGTTTTTAACATGAATTTTAGACTAATACTTATGGTTGAAGTCATTTGATATATGTAATTTTTTTCTTTGTTAAACCATAGTTTTAAATCAAACCAAACTGAAAGAAGCAATTTGAAGTTATTCGATTTGGTTTGAAAATATTTCAAACCACTTTAAGTGGTTTTGTTTGAAAATTGGTCACAGACCGCCCAAACCGAACCATTTTCATCCCTAGTTAATATTGTTGAACTTTCTAGGATTCCGGAAAATCCAGGAGACCTACATAAAGGAGAAATTAAATAAGAAATTGAAAATGATATGAAGGACCATTACCTCAGTGGTTGGGGAAACAAGCAGATCACGGTTTAGCATTAGTTCAAGAGGAAAGTGCACTGCCTTGTGTAACTTAGTGCTTCCAGAGCTTCCATAACGAAAACGCATCAGATGTAATATCATTATCTTGGGAAGTGATTGTATGTTGATAGATTTTCGGGCCGTCACAACTCCAGCCTGAAACTCAGTATCATCATCCACACTATATCAACCACAACCAAGCTCACCGTGTACAGATTTTCATAAAACACAATTCATACTACAAAACATATTCAAATACTCTTGAACATATGCCATGCTTCAATAAAAATTCTAACCAGATAGATTAAATTTAAGCAAATAGCATTCTCGAAATGCATAAATCAACAACCAAAATTAGGAAAAGGTTAACTTTATAATCAAATCATCAAAGCAAAAAACATGAGTAAAATCTTTCCATCAAACTCAAGCATTAAAATCTAAGACTCAATTGATATGCCATGCTTCAATAAAAATTCTAACCAGATTGATATGCTCTTGTTTCCACTTTAATTTTACTTATGTGCATTTTGAGTGATTGATTCAGGAGGAGAGGAGAGAGTTGTACACTGTCAATTCTCCTCCAGTCCCCTCATTTTTTTTTTTTCCAGGAATGAACTTCAATCAATGGTCGATAAATTAACTAAAGATTGGATAACAAGGAAAGTGATATG